GGATGTAAATCTATGACAATAAAACGGAACAATATTGCCGGAATAAAACATGGCTTACCCGTTTCTTACAAAAAAATATTTGAAGTATGTGGCAGGACTTTCGGCGCGTACTGCGGTGCCGTAAGTTTTGTGAAGTCGGTGTGGTGGAGCTCGATGGCGTTTAGTCGGTAGTCGGTTCTGCGGGGCTAGTGCCTCGCGCGCCTATTTCAAGGCGTAGTCTCCTGTGAGAAATTAGGGGAGGTGGAGGAACTCAGTCCTTCTCTTCTCCTCCTCTTCCTTTCAGGAGACGCCGGAGTCAGATATAACCCGGTTCGTAACCCCTCTCGACCAGGTATCCGTAAATGGATTCCCCAGCGTTAAAAAAATTAAAAAAGGGCAGATGTTAGCAAAGACTCGTAGACTGAGGCCGTGAGCTCGCCTAAGCGTTAAATGAAGTTATCAGTAATTTTACTTTATTTTAGCAAGCCTATTTTTAAAGGTTTCTGTAATTATTTGACTTCTTTGCTAATAATCCCATGGAAAAAGCTAAAAAAAATTAAGAAGCAGCAGTAAGCAGTTTTTGTCACTGAATTTTTGGCGGGAATGCGAGAAGCGAAGTTTTACTTTATTAATAATTTAGTGTATCTTAGGGTTAAATGTGTAATAACGGTGTTTTATTAACTTAAACAGTTGTATCTGTACAGTATCTGTGAAAATGAAATAAATCAATTCCAATTAACCAACCTAATTTCATTTTGCTTCATATCATCTTTCATAAAACAGAAAATACAAAAGGCTGTACGGGGCAATATCTTTGGCTTTCTAGTCGGAAAATGGAAACCACTACTTTACTGTCATCATATGCTAATGTCATGTCACCCGTTGTCAATAGTACAGACTAGTCTACACACAGAGTACTATGAGTCTATAAACAAAAGAAAATGCCGTGTTGTGTTATAAAAAATTGCAGAAATAAATCATCGTTACATACGAAACATGCTGGAGTGTCTTTTCACAAGTCAGTAATCGCGTAAAGATTAACCTTAATTCTTAATTACTTGTAAAACTAAGTCAGGCGAAGTCAAATTAATTTTGTAAAACATTAATTTCAAATTATTTTACAGATTTCCGAGGGATCGTGTTATAAAGCACAAATGGACAACAATAATAAGAAAGAGTAGAAACGATGAAAAATGGGTCCCTTCAAAGTTTAGTACTGTATGCTCTGCACATTTTGAGGAAAAGGATTTGTACTTTACAGATAATGGCCTTCAAAGGGTAAGAAAAAATGTTGTACCTAAAAAGGTTTGTATCTATTACTAATTTGCTATTATTCTTAATTTGGTTAATCTTAATTAAGACACAAAAAAAATTATATTTCACTTCTTTACCAGAACATAAGTCGCTCTCAGTTATCTGAAAGCATTCTCCAGTCCAGTCCAGATAGTCCGGGTAGTCAAGAATGTCCAAGCCAAGATTCTGAAAACTCAATGTCATCAGATTCTACGGCCACATCTAAATTAGAACCTGCCATTCAAATACTGATACCAGAGCCCAGTGAACTAGCTGGTACTAGTGAAATGTCTGAATGCAATGAACTGCCTACTAGTCATGAAACAAGTGAGTGCAATAAGTTACAAAGTTCAAATGAATCAAACGAGTTACCTGATGAAAATTCAGTATCAGAATCTGAGATTGATTCTGTAATTGAGGGGTCTTATCGAGTATGCTTAGAAAAAGAACTTCGTAAACATAAAAGAATTAAATTAGAGAATAATAGAAAAATTAAAACACTCAATCAAAAGGTTCGCCGACTCAAAAGAAAAAACAAATCATTGAAAACAATATTGAAAGGAATAAAAGACAAATATTTAATTGATCCTAAAATCGAAAAAGTGCCAACATTAAATGAAGTACCCCTGGAATTATTTCGAAATATATATGTAAACCGTAAAAAGAAAATACATTATTCGCCTGCAATTAGAAAGTTCTGCCTAACATTGAATTCCTACTCTTCTAAAGCCTATGAATATGTACGTGAAGTATTAAATTCAAGTCTACCTCATCCCAAAACCTTACCAAAATGGAATGATATTATTATTAGTGAAACAGGTACCACACCATGTGCAAACAAAGAAAAACAAAAAGAACCAGATGATTTCTCTTCAGAAGATGATTATACCACAGAGATACCTGAGCACTACCTTCCGGAACATCAGTACACCACAATAAAACAAACTTCTTACTCTACAGTACAACACAACCTATATCCTACTATACAGGAGAACTACCCTAATGATCAACAGGTCCAGTATACTACCGAGCAACAACACTATTCTTCAAAGCCTCATGAAGAATATCCTTCAAAGCCTCATGAAGAATATCCTTCAAAACGGTATGATTATCCCACAGCACAACCAGTTCCATAGTTTCAGTTGACACTTATTGTTATTGGGCATTTACATATTTGTTTTCCAGTGTCTTAAATTTTGTATTGTAAATAACTATTTATAATTAGGTTAGGTTTAGGTAATAAATGTTACGTTGTTTAAGTTTTTTATACTGCTGAATTTTTTTGAAGAGTTTAAATAAAATAAAAAATATCCATTACACTCATCAAACATTTATTAAGTGTAATACCTATTTACAGTCATAAAAGCATTTCTATGAAGATGATTAAGTACACTTCCCCTACTGTGAAAAATTAATCAATTGTTTCCTATTTAGCTTAGCTTGATGCTGACAAAAATAATTATTTTGTGGTTATTTTTAAATGACTGTCGACTTTTCACTACATAAGTGGTTTTACTTTTGTAATAATCTTACGTTATTCAAATTCAAGAACGTAATATGTAACAAAAAACCCACCTGATCCAGATAGGATCAATAACATTAGAAAAGAAGTGATACATTTACAAAGCTAAACGCGAAATCATGTATCTACAAAAGATAATAGAGATTAGAGTAATTCAAAACCGCCTGATTTAAACCGATTATAACTTTTTTTTAACTACCTATTCGCTGGTAGCTTTAGGGGCTATTCCAGCTACGCGCGAATGGGCAGGTAAGCTCACGAGCTTAACCTGAGCGATCATGAATTATCGCACCCAGACTCTAAATTTTATAATTCTACCTCATTAGGTTAACTGTCTGAGCACTGGTATAACTAAGTCGCGCCAATAAAGAAACGAACTAAAATGGCGGCGGCGATCATGCGCTCTCACTCTAAACTATTGCTGTCTTTAGTCGCACACGGCGCGTACTGCATGCAAAAAAAATATCATTTCTACCTTTGTTGTTGAGTTCGAGTTTTTCCACTTTAGAGTTGTGCGACTTAGATGACTGGCAGCAAAAGTGTCTACGCAAGTTGCATCCCAGATGAGACACGTCTCCCTCTGCCAGGGCATAAAGTAAAGTATATTCCCATTTGTTTTTGACGTGAATACGTCTTTAAAATTGCTTCCACAGGGACGCAATCCAAAAAAAACGAATGATAACAAAATCGGGGGATACAGTTTAGTGTTGTAGCTACATATCTATCATCTCCATCCAAATTTCAGTTACGCCACTGGATAGCTAAAGAATCAAAGAATTTATTACGCTAAGTAAGGACTGAAACACATTGCGCGCGGGGGAGGGGGCAGCCCCGCCATTTTGAAGGTCATTTTGCTGCGTATCGAGATTTCCATTTAGTATAACTTTCGACTCGGTGAAGCTACGACGTTCATTCAAGTTTCAATCGTCAGCTCTCGTCAAAATCTATCGATTATATATATAACATTAGTGTAAAATTGTAGTTGTGAATATAATAAGGTGTTAAAATAAATAAAAAATATCAAAAAATATATAATGTCGGCCTATACGCGTCGAAAAGCCAAATCGAAATACAGAGATCGTATACGGTTGGAAAGGCCATCTCATCAGCAATCGAATGGTACCAATAAAACACCATATGATCGAGTCAAGCAGTGCCGGCAACGTAAAGTAATGAATGTGGCCGAGCGGATCAACGACGGTGCCAGTACATCTGCAGCTGGGACGGTTGAAATTACGCAGATGGATGATGAAATCGCTTCTGTATCGAAATCGGGCTTATGACACAGACCTATAATAAATAAAGTTATAATACAGTAATTATATGTTTAGTTGATTTATTTCCTGAACCCATTAAATGAAAAAGTTGCCATCATAAACAAAACATGGAGGACTTTTGACATACATAAATAATAATATTTTATATAGAAACTATTACCCGTTACGAGACGTATTCACGTTCAACAAACAGCCACACCCCATTTTTTTATTATTTTTTTACAATAAATAAGTTTTCTTTCTATCTTTCTTTTTATTTGTTGACCCTACAATCTGTCAGTGCAGGTACATAGACGCCGTTTTCAATTCGTTTCTTTATTGTTATACGTAAGAAATATAGATTTTCGCGACGATCTGGCTCTAACAGGAGCAGCAGTTGCAGCACATATCATCATACTAGTCGAAGACTTCCGACGAGTCATTTAGCTCATCGAATTTCTTGTCAGATCTGATAAGGTTGGTAACCTGTGGTGGATGTATACGCAAAGCAGCTGGCCTAGGGCTGATAGGCCTTCAAAGGCGTTTGCGTAGTGGTTAGTAAACATTCTCTCCCGGTTGCCGGTACCTTCGATAGGCTTCCGGACCTATAGAAATTTCTTCAGTTCAGTTCGAAAAGGTTTCTTGTTACACTACAATATCAGATTTGAAGCAATATCTACAAACCGGTACTTACAAGGGAACAATAGTTTTTTTGAAGACATATTAAAACTTTGTTTATGGCGTTTGTAGTTTAGGTATGTATTGTATTTATTACAATGCGCTTCACCTAACCGCTTCCAAAATATTTATAGCCTCAAAATGGGTCTTGTTGACCTTCATTTCACGACGTTTCATGCGTTTTTCTTCTTGGCTCATTAAAACAATATTGGTAAAGACAAGGCTTATAACTTGAACGTGAATATTTATAGTACATTACATATTTGTATGTTTTAAATTCCAGCTAAAATAGATGTAGGGTCTTCGACACCAGATTTAACTTTTCGCAAAAACAGTACAGCTTCACGTCCGTCGATTAATCTATGATCATAAGTTAATGCCAAGTACATCATGGGCCTTATATCCACCTGAAAACCAAAACGTGTGGAGTTAATACGCTAAAAATGTCAAACCTTTAAAACTACTCATTTTTTCGCAGGCTGTAAGTCTTTAGATGTACCTACCTATGTGTTTGTTGCTTTTTACTTTCATCGAGTCTATAATCACAAAAGTGCTAGAGAAGTGCTCGCTTGAACATGTCTGCGGTTCACACGTGGTAGAAGTGAAAACATTCGAGGTGTTGTACCTTATACCTATTAAATCCTATAGACTACTGATCGGCAACCTTGGCAACCAAGAGCCCAATATAGGTAGATGACGCACAGTCGGTTACAGGAACCATTTTTTTAACATGTATTTTTATAGCCTTGTGTTTCAAAAATGTTTACTCATCTCATACATGGCAAGATACTAAAGTAATATTCCGTGTCTAAACTAAACATCAGTGGAAGAGCCGCAGCCGAGGAGGTAGAGGCGGATTATCCGTAAGGCAAACTAGGCACGTGCCTAGGGGCGTAGTACCTAAATAAAGAAAATAACATATCGACGATTAAGAACTAAATGTTGTATAATCTAAATCTTCTGTCGTCCCTCTTGATTTATTCACAGTTATAACGTCATATTACATTCGCGCATTATCGTAAGTACAAGGGCCCTGGTCTACTAGTCTAGGGTTTGATGATACAACGTCATCGTAATTGCAAAAACAACTAGTTAAAGTTTATATATATACTGATGTGCCACGGAATCCCTGATCGATGTCGGTTTCAAATTAAATTTATTAAATGTTACATGGCGTTATGTTATAAACTTAAAATGTTATACAACATACTTGTCGAATATCAATGCTGTTAATACTCTAGGAATTTTGTACATAACTAGCCAATTTCTTTGTTAATCTTTTTAACATTCGAAGCCTAGGTGTACTTATCCTTGTTTTCCGATTTTCTTAAACAAGGGGAGAATCATAGCTGGGAGAATTTAATGTTTATTTATCATATCACCCAAACAACAGTTAACTTTGATAAATATGTTACAATTTACCTTGCCGTTTATTGCGACCGGTCGTTGAAATATAGCGTGCATGCCCAGTATTGCTGATTGTGGTAAATTGATGATCGGCATTGAGAGTAGAGAGCCGAAAACGCCTCCGTTGCTAATCGTGAATGTGCCGCCTTGCATGTCAGCCGGTGTTAGCTTACCTTAAAAAAATAACAAAAAAATTATTTAAAAAGTCAAAATGAAATTAAAGTTGGTATGTTGATTATGATAATGTTATTATATCGAATTCGGTCCCAGAACGCTGATTCGATTATTGCTGTTTAGACATTCATTTTTAGGAATTTAAGAAAATTGAGACCAAAAAGGTCGCATACACATTTATACTCATAATAGAAATAATAACAATATAAACATTCTATTTTTAAAAGTTTTATATACAATGAATTACTACAGTTTCTAATGTCGGGAATTTTTATACGAAATACAAATAAATTACTAAATGAAACCAAAAGCTTCACCGTATTAAAAATACCAATTACAAAGTTAAAAACAAGATATGTTGGTGAGGTGTTGCCAAATCGTATTGTACTAATTTATGACCATTAAGATTAGTGTTCACTTAATGATCGCAATTCGACAGTAATCCAATATATTGTTATTAATTTCATGTACCTACTACGTTTTTTTAGAAAAATAAATAAAATGTTTGACAAACGAGAGGAAAAATGATAAATAACTCTTTGCTTTAATTGTTTATATCAACAAAGATCCGATCGATCTGATTTTTGATAAAGTAAATGCTATTTTAAATTTGGAAATTACCGGTTCTAGCCTTTTCAGCGAGAGCACCCATAGCAAGCTCAATACGTGGATAGTCCATCGACTCTACATTACGAAGTACGGGCACGACTAGACCTCGAGGAGTCGCAACCGCCACAGAAATATCCACATAGTCTCTGTTAGTTAAATAAGATGTAAATTAGGTAGATAAAAGAAGATTTTAAGATTTTTCTGGAAGAGATAAGATGATGCTATTCTAGGCCACTAGAGGGAGGACACTATACAGCCCAATGCATCAATAATATTTCCCATTTAAACTAATTTTATATTTAGTGGTAGAGTTTTTTTTATTCCTTAGTTGGGTGGACGAGCTCCCGCCCATCTGGTGTTAAGTGGTTACTGGAGCCCATAGATTCTACAACGTAAATGTGCCACCCACTTGAGATATAATTTCTAAGGTCTCAGCATAGTTACAACGGCTGTCCCTCCCTTCAAACCGAAACGCATTACTGCTTCACGGCAGAAAAAGGCAGGGTGGTGGTACATACCCGTGCGGACTCACAAGAGGTACGTACTGCCCTCAGTAATTACGCAAATTATAATTTTGCGGGTTTGATTTTTATTACACGAGGTATTCCTTCACCGTGGAAGTCAATCGTGAACATTTGTTAAGTACGTATTTCATTAGAAAAATTGGTACCCGCCTGGGATTCGAGCACCGGTGCATCGCTTCAACACGAATGCACCGGATTTTTTAACTTTTAGGCTACGACGACTTTTATTTCGACTTCTATTACAATATATCCTATAGCTCTATATCCTGAATTGTATCAGTAAATGAAGAAGCGCTCTAATACGTTTGCATAAGCCAGGACATACACAGGAAGACGTGGCGAAGTAAAGTGCATGGAGAGGTCAACATTTCAAACTAGACACGAGCTTCAGCAATGAAGAGACCGACTCAGAAAAAGATAAACATGTAAAAAATCATATCATAAGATTAATGTGATAAAAACACTACTTTTGGTGGATTGTTAATGAAAATTACCTATAAATTATATTATCTCCAATAATAACACCGTTTACAACTGGCTGATCCATCAGGGCATTAGCAGATGCCTTCAAGAAAGGCGACATGAAAGATAACTTCACTCCGTACTTTTTTGTGAAAGCTTCGAGGTTCGCTTTGCGGAACGCCATTAATTTACTAAAAAAAGAAGATAAGCTTAAAATTTAATCTTCGAGAATTACAAAATTATTCGTTACAGCTGACCATATGATTTAAAAATATATTAATATATATTTTTAAATCATATGGTCCTGTTCGACTACAATTCAGAACATTATGATAATGCGTGTGTGGCGGTTGACATACACACAATGGTTATATTTTTTTTTCCTACCCAAGCTGATGGTCTAGAGCAGGGGTTCCTAAACTTATTTTGTGTACTGCCCACTTTGAGAATAAATGATTTTTTAGCGCCCCCATTTTTTCACATACTTAAAAACCATTATAGCGAGAGCTCAGTCGGCGTGTAAGAGTCCCAGATGAAATTATATATCTCCTCCCAAGCTTCTACACAACGCTCCCATTTTTTTCTGGGTCGCTTACCGCCCCCTTTTAGGCCTGCAGCGCCCACAAGGAGGCGTTTACGCCCACTTTGGGAAAGGCTGGTCTAGAGAGACCATATCAGCGCCACCGGGCTAGTTGGTCATACACAGCGGCCAGCATGCAGCAATGTCTCTCGCTCAGTGAAAACCTTTATACTAAATTCTTACTATCCGTCTTCGCAGGGCTTCATTTTTTTATTGTGTATGATTTGATATTGATCTTTTTTTTTATTGCCCTTGTAGGCAGACGACGACGCCCACATGATGGTGAGTGGTCACCGTCGCCCATGGACTTCAGCAATGCCAGGGGCAGACCCAAGCCGCTGCCTACCTCTAAAACAGGACACACAGGGCATCTGCTGCTACGGAGTTACAGTAACCGTAGACATCGCAGAGAGAATATCGCCGCCTACTTTGGTACATGACCAGTTAATTTCAATTATCAATAGAACGACAGTTCCACTCTTCAGTTAGAACGTATTACTGCTTTGTGTCAGTACCTACCTACCCGTACGGGTTTACAAGATGCCTATGCATCATTAACGATCGTCCAAGTCAAATTAGAAACTGTAGCTGTATGTCTATGGTATCAGCCGATTAACCATAGCGGTAATGAAAGGACTGGTCACCCGAAAGACTTTCAGTATCACCAGGACAAGTGGAGCCCTGTATTAGTGAGGGTGTACTCACCTCATATCGCATTCGTTGAACGTAGTAAGCATTGCAGTCGTGTTCTGTGCTTCCTTTAATCGTTCAGAGATACGTTTCCGCATCTTGTTCATTGGCACCGGGTGTTCGGTTCTGGTGCCCGATATCGTCTTTGTTGGATCACCGATCCTTTGTGTCGCTAGCTGATTGAAAAACATTATGTTTACTGAATTAAATTTATAGGTAGGATATCATTTGGCCTTCAGGAAACCGGCCACTGTGCCATTAATCAGTTCGTTTATTCATAATGAACCCTCGGAATTGTTTTACAAATAGATTGTAATGATTAAATTATTTATGCTTTCAGTTTAACTCACTGTGGGTCCAGTCGGTTTTTTAGCTGCTGCAGGTTTAGCTGTAGGTGGCTTAGTAACAGTAGCCTTAGTAGTGGCGGGGGTTGTAGCTGGGGCCTTAGCTGCCGCTGGCGCAGGGGCAGCGGCAGGAGTTGGAGTAGCGGCAGGAACTGGAGCTGCGGCAGGAGCGGCCGCAGGAGCAGCTTTAGATGGAGCTTCTCCAGTAACATCAACCTGCACACAAGCTGAGCAAGTAAATACCGAATACTATGAATATAATTTAACATTAACAACACTTAGCAGTAAAATGTAATAATTTGATATTCGGTTTGAAGGGTGGGGCAGCCGTTGTAACTATACTGAGACCTTAGAACTTATATCTCAAGGTGGGTGGCGCATTTACGTTGTAGATGTCTATGGGCTCCAGTAACCACTCAACATCAGGTGGGCTGTGAGATCGTTCACCCATCTAACCAATATAAAAAAAAAAACGTACGAAATCTGCAAATTTTTAAATTATAGGTACCTTCACTTCATGATGGGCATAGGGGAAAGTGACTGGGTTTATAAAAGTCAATACGTTCTAGATTTCGAAAAGACCGAACTAAATTTGATGAAATTTTCAGGATATCTTCATATTGGCCTGAAGTACAACCCTATGAAGTTTGGTAGCGGTTGGATCGAAGTCAAATCAAAGAACGGTGAGCAAAACGGGCTGGGTTTGTTAATCTGGTGGTATGGTACGTGACAAAAAAGATATCTGGAAATGTAAATGTCGATGAAAGCAGTGGATGTATATGGGCTAAAGTAACCACTTAACCTGGTGGGCTGTGAGCTCGTCAACCTATCTAGGGAATAAAAATAATAAAGTATATCTTTTGAATATACTAGAAAAATTCGAAAATATCAAATATAATTACTCCGTACTATAATTAATTGTGCTTTGCAACTGCAATTTTTATTTAATTAATTAATAATGTCATTTTGTTGTCCTTTTCATAACTGTTTTTTTTTTTATTATTATTCATGTTCTTTTTATTTTTTAATATATTTTACAATGTTGTGTATTGGTCGGTCTGATGCTGGTGTGCGCGTCACTCCGCAGGTGCCGGCGGAAGATCAGCGCCGCAGTACCGATTGTCTCGATACTATTAGGCATTGCTGAGCCGGTAACCGTTTCCAAGCCTCGTTATTTTTGTTATCTTTTTTATTTATTGTTTGTACTTAATTTGTGTTTGGAATAAATGTTTATTATTAGTATTATTATAATTTCAGCTGTGATTCAAGCTTACGGTAATCACTTTAGGCCAAGGTAAAAAATCCTGAAAAATAACTTGATATGTGTTGCATAATCTTAGATTTATCAATTTTACTTGTAGCTACAATTTACTACTGCTAATGCTTAGCATAAAGTGGAAGAAAAGAGGCCTATGGGGCGTAGTCCCATGCGCTGGTCCGATCAGATGACTTTGGAATCTAGCATCAATGTCGCTATCCACTGCGCGGAGGACAGGAGGGAATGGAGGAACATAGTCCTAACAAAAGTGCTCCGTAAAGGTCACGACCCTCAGCACTGAGGAGTACGACGCACGGAGGAGGATAATTTACCTGGAACAAGGGTTGTTGAGATTTTACAGATTCTCCTTCTTTGACCAGCATCTTGACGATTTTTCCGTTACCGGGCGACATGACCGGGAGGGCCGTCTTGTCCGTCTCGATTTCCAAGACCACCTCGTCCATAGCCACGGCGTCTCCTTCTTTCTTTACCAACCTTGAAGTGGAAATAGCTTTAAATATCTAGCTTCTTGAATTTGTATGTTGCTGAGCGATTTACCTTCCGCAAAGTAGCTGGTGGTAATTTTTCACTGGTGGTAGGACCTCTTGTGAGTCCGCACGGGTAGGTACCACCACCCTACCTATTTCTGCCGTGAAGCAGTAATGCGTTTCGGTTTGAAGGGTGGGACAGCCGTTCTAACTATACCGAGACATTAGAACTTATCTCAAGGTGGGTGGCGGATTTACGTTGTAGATGTCTATGAGCTCCAGCAACCACTTAACACCAGGTGGGCTGTGAGCTCGTCCACCCATCTAAGCAATAAATAAAAAAAGTAATTGTAACAAAAAACAAAGTTTGCGATCTCTCCGATTGTCAGCACGTACAGAACCGTATTCAATAGAATTCATGGTTTCCAGATTTTATAATTTGCTTTCGTATTACTGCAATGTTAGATCGGTAGTTTAGTCACGGGAGTTCGTATTCATGTAGATATGCCTAGAATATATTGTTCCACTACTTTCAAGGCCTTCTACTCCGAAAAATAGTCTTTTCGCAGCAGAAACAGGCCAGACGTTGATTGTAAGAGATACAGTGAGATACAAGTGGAAGGCGACGATGTCATTGTGACGTTTAAGGCTTCAGGTAGGAAGAGGACAATGAGCTTGTATGCAAATCTAGAGTATCCACTATAGGTTTTATTTATCAAGCTATTTAATGAACTATATAACGGATTTTACTATTTTTTGTCTCTGTCTTTCTTTGTTTTAAGTCCTTCGCTTACATTTAGTTAACTTTTTTATTTATTTAAATTCAATGAATAGGTTAAAATTTCTCGACTAACATACTTGACATCTCCGCTGGAGACAGAGTCCGGAAAGGTTGGTGCTTTAACTTCTTCTACCCCCAAAAGCTGTCTACCGGTATGAAAGTCCTGGCTGATTGGGATGTGAATTACTATAACTTCTTTTATTGTCCTGTGAAGAAAAAAATAAGCTTAGATAAGTTTCGTTTTACGTTTGAGTGTTATTTTTTTTATTGCTTTTGTAGGCAGACGAGCATACGGCCCACTTGATGGTAAGTGGTTACCGTCGCTCATGTAGGTCAGCAGTGCCAGGGATACAGCCAAGCCACTGCCTACCTCTCTACCACTCACCATCGACCACAGATACAATAAAGCACGCGGGAATGCAGTACTGTTTTTTTTTAAAGATAAATACAAAATACAGTCTCTTATGATTATTATCGGGTATCGGATCATCAAGTGGTAGTTACAAATTTGAAAAAAATCCATTTACCTATTCGTAAAATTCTTAAAATGCGGTAGAGTATAATTTCGGATATTGGAATTACTTGAATATTGAAGTATTCTAATATGTCTTCCCTGGGATATCTGAAATAAAATACAACATACCTTACTTAAGCATTGGCGAAACAAGTTGAAAAACCCAAAAAGTTAATGTTCGCAATCTTTTTTCCCACATATAAATATGTAGTTACTTTAAACATTGACCGATACGAACTCTTAAGATATATAGTGAGATAAATTATTGACAACAAAATCTTGAAGTCTTTTTCTATAAACGCTTCCAGTAAGTGGACATTTTCTAGACTTGGTTACGGAAATGTATATGTATAATTTAATGTGTATTTAAATGTATGATCGTATTATATGGTAACAAAGTAATTGGGTACTAACATTAAATGTTCCTGTCATGGAAATAATATTAACCTTAACCTTAACTTTAAAGTTGCCAAAGGATAAATGGGAACATGCAGTACTTACAAAGCGTATTATCCGACGTCTGATCATTTTGAGTATTAGCATTAATATCAGGAGAAAACCATCATATCATTTTATATAGGTATAGTATTCCCTATCACACAAAAAAATCTATTATACTGACAGTTTTATTTTTCTTTTTGGTGCCTAGAAGAGTTAGCTCGAAAGTAGTTTTTAGTTTATTTACAAAACTAATCGTATTTCCAGTATGAGCACTGCATATGGTAGTATATTAATTCATTTGCATGTTTTTTTATATTAATATTCAAACAAATTAATTAAATAATTTTATATATTTTTATCAAATCTTTCATCAGAAGCCTCTAAAAAGATTTTTTTTTTCTGATAGCGCTATTTGACAAGAGATGTCTATTTCTAAATCTCTCCTATTCAACCATAGATGGCTATTAAAAGTGTTACTTCTCACCACTAGAGAGCAGCACTACTTAAAATTTATATTCGACGCTAGATGGCCTCATTAACAGTAAGTGCGTTTTATTCACGTCTAAATGTCTTTTTAGAAATATGATTATTTTTCATACTTGCAATTCGGTAGGTCGGTAGATCGCCGATAGGTAATTATGCAACAGTTGACGTAGACAAAACTACTTGTACGGTTTAATCTCGCGTTTTTTAAATCTCATTACATGATTAATCAATTACAACATTCAACAAATGTCGATAAATTGAGTCGTCTATTATCAAAGGTGCCAATCTGTGCATTTGAACAAGAAAATGTTATTGATATGTCAATACAGATTGATTTGAATATAATCGTCTCATTCAAAGAATACGGCTCAAAACCTGCATTAAATAAAGGTTAATATTTAACCTGTTATTTATCTAAGATGTCGTTCAGAAGAGTTTTGTGGCTGCCAATGGAATACAAAGTCAATAATTCGTTTTTCTGATTTACCAATAATTGTCCAAAAGTCACATTGCCGGCTTTGATACTAGTCGACTCAAATAATACCTTAGTCATATCCGTAACTACGATAACTGTAAAGTAATCGAAACGTCGGAAATAATATAATTACAATATAATTAATTACATCTGCGATTTGCGAAAGCCGAAAAATATCTGTACTCAATTTTGAATTTCACAACTATAAAATAGTATCTTTACAACGCTATCTACACTGTACAATTAATGGTCACCGATGAGGTAGCCTTAAAGTTTTGGAAACGTTGGAAATACAATATAATGACAATAAAAAATCCGAGTCTAAGCCGTAAAATCAGTTTTAATTATGTCCATGACTCACGAAAACTGAAGCAAATACTAACAACTAGCATTATATTAATTAACGCAGCCATTTATACCTCGACTGGTGGTCACCAGTTTAAGCGGGTTGCTTTTAATTCATCAACCGTAAATGAATTGAACTTTCGGCAAGGGGTCCCCGGAGTGGTTATGATATAACCAAGTCTATGGGAAGGGACATTAGTAAAGGACGCACAAGACAGTTATGCCCTTCTTGAGTTTTATAGGGTTGACAGTAACATTGAAAGATTTTTGAGGTAGTTAGATTAAAATAATGGTTTATTAAAAACTAAAATACATGCTTTTGTACCTACCTAGTTACCTTTAAAATTACGAAATAGCTTTTTAATTATGGACAGTTTATTCTATGGGATTTTAAGATCTGGTTTATGTTAAATAAAAAAATAAAAAACGATTATTTAAAATAAGAAATATGTTATCAACAGTTTAATTAATTTAATTTAATTCATTATTTAATAAAAGCTGTGGTGTGTATATAACTGGTTGACGGAACTAAAATTTACAGATGATACCACGATCGAACAAATTTATAATATACTAGCGACCCGCCCTCGCTTCGCTTCGGAAACATTAAAACACACATGAAACAAACAAAAAATTTTTTTTTAAAAAAAGTAGCCTATGTTCATCAGGGACAATGTCGGCTTCTAATGGAAAAAGAATTTTTCAAATCGGTCCAGTAGTTTCGGAGCCTATTCGAAACAAACAAATCTTTCCTCTTTATAATATTAGTATAGATTAGTATAGATTATTATTATATTATAATTATATTATAATTATAATTATTATAGTATAGATTGTTTTTGGATCATTTGGAACCCCGGGTCTGCGGAGGGACTTCGCTTCTCTCTGTATTTTGTACTATGAGGAGTGCTTTGAGGAATTGTTTGATATGATCCTATCATCTCGTATTTATCGCACTGCCCGCCACCGGAGTAGAGTTCATCCATACAGTGCGTTTCCAGAGATCTTTTTTGCCAAGTACCATCCGGCTTTGGAATGAGCTACCCTCCACGGTGTTTCCCGAGCGCTATGACATGTCCTTCTTTCAAAGAGGCTTGTGGATAGTATTAAGCGGTAGGCAGCGACTTGGCTCTGCCCCTGGCATTGCTGAAGTCCATGGGCGAGGGTAGCCACTCACCATCAGGTGGCCGTAAGCTCGTCTGCCTGCATATATATATATATTGAAAATGTACTTGTGTTTCATTGCATTGACATGTTTTTTTAACGCAATCTGTTTTTTAACACATTTAATAGCCTAAAGTACCTAACTATGTATTTCGCGTAATAACGCTTGGAATGCGAAGGTTGCCTACATCGCTTTTATCGTAAATTACGCGTTCACGAACTTTTATCTAATTGTTATAATAAACAGGTATATTATATTTAAGCTTAGTAAATGACCATTGTTTTTGGTTCTCATTAGGGTGTTTGTCTAATCTTTTAATGTAAGCGTTAATATAACGATTTTACTTGGTCACACTAAAAAAGGGTAAAATGTGATTTTTAGTTTGTAAAATGTCCATTTTCGCCATTCCTTAATGGATTTTTAGTTTATTAATACTATTTTTAGGGATGACTAAGTCTATGTTCCTTCTTTCCTTGCACCGTGTTTCTCAGTGCTGTGACAAAATTGCAAAAACATATCTATTAAATAGCAATAACGCTTGCCTTATAATTCATCGAAATTTTAAAAATAAAGATTGTCCGATTAAATTTTTTGCTAAAAGTGTCACCCCTACGCAAGTAGGGACATCTTCCCCATTAATTTGCTAAGATTCGGGCGGCCCGCATCAATGATTAGTAATCTGCGACCCCAGACGTGCGCTTCCTTCGAGTATCGACTGCTCATTTATGCACATACATATCTTGTTAGATATCTATTCATATTGGATTTGCTATTTGCGGGGTTTGCGGGAGGTTAAAGGTTCATAATGTCTATGAAAGTACATTTGGATGTGTGAAATTATGTGTCAATGAAAGGTAAATTGTTTGTTTGATGATAAGTCCGGGTTTACCTTGCTCACAACATTTGTGATTCATTTTATGATTCTGTTGTTTTCGATCGCTTAATTAATCTCGTTCTTAAGGAGTCAGTCTTCTTGTTAAAGATATATAGGGTTGTAGGTTTGGATGTTCTCGTCCTATTTGTGTGTTTCGGAACCCATATGTAGCACAGGAGAAAATCAAGATTTGATGCTGTTCAACTTTTGAAATAGTAGCCTTGATGGTTACGGAGTTCATGTATGAATGACATTGTGCTAAATTGTGTTAAACTATAGAAAATTTTCATGTTTATGCAACTATGGCGGTGTCCTATTTCCGCAGAGAGTTTACTAATTCAAACAAATACATATGTATGTAAAATGCGTTGTCGAATGACTTCTACTATTAACGAATAGTAGTAATTAATATGCAAAATTAGTATTAAGCGGTAGGGAGCGGCTTGGCTCTGCCCCTGGCATTGCTGAAGTCCATGGGCGACGGTAACCACTCACCATCGTCTGCCTACAAGGGCAATAAATAATAATAATAATAATAATAAAATGTTCGTGTTTACTGGTGGCACTATATCGAATAAAGATCTCTGGACTAAATGTCACCAAACCTCAGAAATAGCGTTGGATAGGATACACTATACCGCGCAGCGGAGTCAACGCAGCATCTATCGCGTTTGAGTGGTAACTGCATGGTAGGAGACGACCTGGTCGCCGTGTACACACTTGGCGACGCACCGTGGAGAGCGAGATGGGGACTGCCAACGTGACCTGAAGTGATGTCAAGTAGCAAGTGCAAGACAGGGTCAAGTGCAAATAACTTGTGAGGGCCCTATGTACCGGCGGGGTTCCATAGGACAAGAACAACTGGTGGCACGATGTATTGTGAGCCCGGATGGGTGGGTACCTCCATCCTGCATATTTTTACCACGAAGTCGTCGTTTTGAAGTCGTCGTGGCCTAAAGGATAAAATGTCCGGTGCATTCGTATTGAGCGATGCACCAGTGTTCGAATCCCAGGCGGGTACCAATTTTTCTAATGAAATACATACGTACTTAACAAATGTTCTCGATTGACTTCCGCGGTGAACGAATAACATCGTGTAATAAAAATAAAATCCGCAAATTATAATTTGCGTAATTACTGGTGGTAAAACCTCTTGTGAGTCCGCGCGGGTAGGTACCACCACCCCGCCTATTTTTGCTGTAAAACAGTAATGCGTTTCGGTTTGAAGGGTGGGGCAGCCGTTGTAACTATATTGAGATCTTAGAACTTATGTCTCAACTTGGGTGGCGCATTTACGTCGTAGATGTCTATGGGCTCCAGTCACCACTTAACACCAGGTGGGCTGTGGGCTCGTCCACCCGTCTAAGCAATAAAAAAAAACGAAGCAGTAGTTTGAAGGGGGGACAATACAGACTGAGACTGATACTTCGAGATGGTGTTTCAAGATGGATTGTATCCCTTTTGCGATGGCTAAGCGTCTGGTGGGTGTAAAAGTGTAGGTTATTCTTCGGCTACCATACGCCTGTCAGTTCGGTCCGGTGGCCAGCTGGTCGTTAAGTTACGAAGTCTTAGAGTTGTTAATACTTCGGAGTTTTGTTCACAGCCGCGGCAAACCCTGGCTTACAGCGACCGAACGACGTTTTGGAAAAAGGGGCAATTGAAAAGTTGTAAATAAATTAAACTCAGTTCATAATTGTATTTTATTTCAAAGTTTTTTATTTTATGTTTGTTTAATATATTATATACATATATCCACA